ATGATTCTATGATTCTATGAAGTTTCTTATCACTGGACCATCTATCAAAACTTTTCTCATCATAGCCCAGGGCATGCAAGAATCCAAGGGAATCAATGACGAATGCCACAACAGACACTAGTTAGCAGCTTTCAAAGATGCCTGTTTCTGCTCTGCAATACACCACACGACACCTGCAAATATTAAATCAAGGAGCACAGCTCTGAGGATAAGTGCACAAACACTCGTGCATACTCACAAGTATACTCTTAGAAAGTGCTGTTAGCAGAATTCTCAGCACAAAACTCTACAACTCTTCTAGGCAGGCACATACCAGGACTGAATAGGATGGTACAGGGCATCCTAGTTTCTCCTCTAATCCAGGTGCACAGGCATCAAGGCAAGACACTGACCATACCTTTTCCCAAATCTGCAGCAAGTTCATACCAGAACCTAACAGGCAGATCAAAACAAGAGGCACATATCATTAAACACAAGATAGTACTCTAACAGAAAATTATACCTCATTACAGGCAACAGAAAATTTACAGATGCGTATTTTACATTCAAAGTGCAAGGTTTCAGCTATTTAAGTGTGAAAGATACTGATGATTCAGCCTCTGGATAGCTTTCACCTGTAACAGTAGCAGAAAAGGCTTCTCTGATGCACAATGCACTAGACAATTCAGTTATTCCCAAATTAAAAGCAGAAAGAAGAACATGGATGCCTCCTCATCAACCCCTTCCACCTTAGACGAAGACTTCACTGATGCAGCAATGTCACTTCCAGGTATGTTGTGCTCACCTGAGACCTATAATGACAAAATTCCACCCTGGGTGGTACAGTTCTATACTACTCCTGCCTATGAATATCAAATCAGCATCTAAGTCCATGCTGACTAATCTTCCTCCACATTAATGTTTCCTTCTTCAGGGGCAACAAAATAATAGTTTAGAAGTCCCCCCACAAAAAAGCAAGAAGTCAAATTTTCAAGTGTAGCCTCTATTTTGAGGCTAATTTGGAGATTCCAGCTTTCAGTACCAAAGTCCTGACTTTCAAAACTGAACAGCCCAACCGAAATCTGCAGCACCTGCAAGCGTGCAACACCTCTAAGTCTAGATTCTGTGAGTTGAATTAGGGATTGTGAGTTGAATTAGGGATTGCAAAAGCCTAGATAACTGATTTGGCCACCTATTTCCACACCAGGACCGTCCCTAGATCTGAGGAAGAGCTGTGCATTTTTGGTTTCATTCCTCACTATTACATTTGCATTGCCCTGGCTTATGAAGTTAATTGAAGTTGGTTAGTGGCCGAATCTACATAACATACTCAGCACTCCACATCCCTTGCTTATATTTCTAAGATGCCTCTAATTGCATATTTCATTAGATGTAAAAATCTGGATGTGTTTTTAGTTAGTACTGTTCAGGGATTTAGTAGTCCTATTCTAGATTAACAACATTTTAATTTCAAAGACTGCTTAGCCCACAAGTTATCTAATTCAATCACAGCCACATTCTCAGCTGAGCACAGTGGAAAACCTGAAATTTACTTCAATTCAATAAATCTTTAAACTTTTTAAAACACAAAGACAGTGAAGTTGACCCCACATGCTGTGTCTGTAGAATAACACTGTGGCGCTGGGACACTGAGGAAGAGAAGGGATGCAACCCACATCTCAGCCAGCACATCACAAGGCCCTAGCAGGGCTCTTAGTCTGAAGAAAGGCACACGCTTGCAACACACTGGTTACCCATGCACAAATGAGCCCACCCAATCAATTTCCAGCAGCCTTTTTCACATAGGCCTAATAATTACTTTAATAACATTTATAAAGTATCTCTCCACACAGTCCATTCCTAATGACCATCAACAATGTCTGGACCTAGTGCTTCTTCACACAGTGTTGTCAACAGCAAGTGTTGCACACTCCAGCTGAGACCCACTGGAGTGGGTTATCCCAGCTGAACAGTAGGATATTTGGATTATACTTAATAACATATAAAATAAAAGCATTAAATATAATCAATCCCATTTCCAGCAAATTAAACACACTCAACAAATCACGCATTGGTTTATTTGGCCCATGGTCCAATGGCAGGAATCTGACAGAGCAGGAAGCGCAACATGCCTCCCACAGGCAAAAGGCGCGTGTCTCTTTTCTGCTGTCAAAATCACTACCACCCACAGAAAATGAAACACGGCAAGATTTACTCCAGCTTCTCTCAATTCTCTAGGTGAGAAAACTCTTAATCTATCCATCTCCTTCTTCCAGTGTAAAGTGAGTCCGGCATCACCATCTGCACTTCCTGGGACAGAGGATGTGAGCAGCCTCATCCCAAGCTCTTGGGCATAACAAGGTTTCTATGTAGAAATATGTGATTCTATAAATTTTCCCAGAAAAGTCTATAATTTAAAAAGCCAAGAACCCCTTAGCTAAATTGAGTTATGCAGTGAGAAACAGAATCTTTAAATAGAAATTTTACTAGAGAAAGGTTGGTTATTGCCTATGGTTTTTCCCCTCACGGGGAAACATTTAACCAGTACCATCTAATGCAATTTTGCAAGACAAAAGGACAACCTCCAATCTTTTCTGCATAGAACAGGAAAAATACTAACCTTATGACTGAAAAAGTCTAAGTTTATATATTATACAGAAATAACACTTCAGTTTATTGACTGGTAGGTATAGTTGCACAAAGACTTTAATATGCCCGAGAAAAGAAAGATGAGCTAATATGCCCAAGAAAAGAAAGATGAGCTAATTTACCCCACCCTCAGAAACTCATTTAAAAGATGTGAAACAACTATTTTACAAGAACTATTAATTTTTTTGGCCTGGATTCATCCTATCCAACTGTGGGCACTTGCATGAGAATCTCTAGTCAGTAGAAAATAATAAACACAGCCGAATGCTCCCTGGAACCACTTCTCTTTCTTCTCTGATTACACGGGGAGTGATGCACAGTGGGTTCCAAATTCAAGCACCTCTGGTCATGATCTATGCTGCTCTTAGAAATAAAAGTTAGTAAAAATGGCTTATGCATACTGTTAGAAATTTTGCATATAAAATAAGTAATAATCTGAGAACTAAGGGGGCGGGGAGGTGTGGAATCAAAGGCAATCATAGAATGGTTAGGGTTGGAGGGGACCTTAAAGATCATCTAGTTCCAACTCCCCTGCCACGGGCATCCTTTGACTTGTCACTCTAAATGGACACCCCCATCAGCAATGGTCAACAGCCAAGGCCACGGTCCAGTACAGACTGAGGAAAGGGTCAACACAGATGAACAGGATTCAGTACCTCACTGCAAAAGCATCACTGACAGCATAAAATGACCAGGAGCACAATCAGGACTTGGTAACATTTATTACATATACAAAAGTATAAGTGCTGCAACACTGAGGGAGGGATGGACCCAATTTCACTACAAAAAACAAATGAGGCAGATTACCTGGTTTTACTAATCAAACTAAAGCTCAATATTTGCATATATTTATAAACAGTTGAGTGCATCTATATTACAGCACTCTGGATTGCCTTTTCAGGGACATAAAATCTATAGCAATGTAACTCTGCTGACACCACACAAGCTGCATGAGGAGTAAATTCAGCCCACCATGCTTCCTTCTGAAAAGGCTTCAGTTCAAAGCATCCTTGTTTGATAGAATAACAAAAACAAGTATGCCAGGCTATGATTTGCCTAAGGCTCTCAGAAAAGCATTTCAAAAGATAAAGTTTCTCTAGGTTAAGAGCTGAATAGCTGTTCTTTAAGGTGTCTTCTAAAAGAAACAATGCCTCAAGTGTTCAAGTTGTTTAGGTCCTAAATGTATCTTACTTTTAACAGCTGCACAATATAAATGAAAAACATTCTTCACTCCACCAGAATGTAATTTGATTTTTTTTTAAATCAATCACTCAGGGTGCTCAGCCATTCACAAGGAGTGACTTAAACCTGTCAAGATTGGACCTTTAAAAAAAAAATAATCCTGAAACTGAATAGCACATATCCTACAATAACCGGCAAATTTAAAGAGATAAGTTATTGTGCAGAGCTAAACAATTTGACGGGGTCTTTTAAAGATGAAATGACCTGATATTAAACCTACAGAAATGAAGAATAGGTCTATTATCTGAACATTATTTTGAGAGACGCATTTTACGGGTGCAATGCAAAAGATCAAGTGAATTGCAAGAAATCGTAAATGACAACAAGTTTTTCAGCTGGATCCAAATAACTGCTGCATACATTATAATTATATTTTATTACTGGAATTAGAATTCTCTCTCATTAAGTTAACAGAAGCAAAGGAACGAACAAGACACAACATAGCTTACAGTGCCGAAAAATCTCGTCTTGTGAAGAGAACTGTAACATCCTGCTTAGTTCTCTTATCTTTTTTCACACAAAGATTTAATAATCTTACATGCTCTGAACAGTAGATAACATTTATTCAAGTTCCATAAATATCCAGAGGTGTAACCAAACAGGCTTTCCTAGAGCTGTTTGAAAAATGCAATACATATTCTAAGAAATTTTTCCAATTAAGCAAATTTTCACTTTCTTTAGCTTAAAGTGTTTCGGTTTTCAACCCAACACAGATATTTTCAAGTTCCAAAATTGAAGCAGCATGGTTTTCCCCAACTTGCTTCCAATTACAAGAGGCAAATGTAACCACCCAAAAAAAAAAAAATCCCCAACACCAATATTTCTTTTTTTTAATGCTTATATTTTTAAACATTTGAATCAAAATTAAGACTTTGCTCTCATTGAAACATAAAAGATCAACCTATTTCTTTATCAGAAATAGTAATTTGAAGGTCTCTCTTTGAAATGCAGTACATGGAGTTAGTTCTTTGGGGTGTTGGGTGGCTGAAGTGCTCAGTATTTAGGCCTACTGAGGAGTAAAGTGCATATCTCCAAAGAGGTATTGTTGTCAATAATACATTAAAAAAATAAAATTTAGCTGTGAAAATACATGGCTAACAGAACAGGACTAGAAGATAGATGTAATAATCTCACAACTGCTGCAAAATAAGCATGGATTGTTTTGTGATTTTTGAGGTCTCAACTATAACTGGGAGGTCTGATATTTAATAAGTTGTCCATTAGCTAAAATTGAGGTGTCTTGCCTTTTCCTATGAACGCTGATGGAACAACGAAGGAGAAAAAATGAGTTGGTCTTAACATGTGTGGACTATGGCTCTATAATGCAAAATTTCCTTAGAGAGCCTTGTTATCTAACCTTTCAGCTCCAAAATATATCTTCGCTTAGTTTCAGAGGAATCAAAAACGCTATTTAGAAATAACAGCACAGCTCCCAGGAAAATGGTTTCCTTTGTAATTGCCATTTAAAATTGCCATTTAAAAGCTGGATAACGGAGATAACACTCAACAGAAGAGAGCGCCCTGTCACTTTTTTGTCTTTGATATAACGAATAGAGAGATATGGAAGGGGTTTTGGGGTTTTTTTTAAGTGAGTTCAGGATTTTTTTGCTTGGTTTATGATTTTTTTCTCTGGTTCATTTTGAAAAGATATTTCTATTGCAGATCCATCCTCCACTTAGGTGGGGGGAAAAATAATCACTCTATACATCTTGTTCACATCCTGTGCAACTCAAGAGCTAAACCAGCCAAAATGAAGAACAAATATCAGAACTATGAAATCTAGCTTAAAAATCCACTTTTTTGGTCATGCTCTTAAATAGATATTTCAACTTTCCTTTGTACATTATAAAGTAAAGAAAAAAAAAGCACAATTTCATTTAAGAATATTTTCTGTGGACCCATTTTGTAGAAATGGGAATCATAGTATGACAGGGCTATACAAGCACAGCTGACAGCACTATCGAGAATAGCACCAAATTGAAAGGAGTAACTTAGCTTAAAATCTCATACACTTGTCATTAATTAAACACTGAAAATAAATGGAAGTGACCTTGTCCACCTTTTACATAAGATGGGGATGGAAAGGAATATTTCCTTGTTGAATTGTTACTACAAGAAAAGCCAACACACTTACCATCACTGTAATCGATGGGCGCGTAAGCTCCTCGGAAAAGGGAAGCTGCAAAACTACTAACCAAAGAGATTCTCTGAAAGAAAAGGCGTGAGATAGTGAGTCCCATCAGTATTCACTTCAAAGAAAGCAAACAATTAAGCAATTGGAAGCAGCAAATGTTAATAGATGCTTAATGTTAGGCACAGAAAGTACATGAAAATACACCTAGAAGGAGTATTCAGTTCTATCTTACTGCCTAAGTAATACTGCAGATGCCAATCTAAAAGTAACCCCATGACACAAGTTGTTGAACATTCTGAAACATGTAAAATACACCTAGTATATTAGCATACTCTATGTTATCATGAATTAATTCATAACTTCGGTGTATCACAGAACCTTATTTCAAGGAAGAACACTTACTAAGGAGAAAAAAAAACCCACACAAAACAACAACCCACCTGTATGTTGACAACAGAGGAAACGCCCAGAAACCATGTAGTGGGCAACCCAGAGCACAAGTCTGTAAGCTTTTTAGCCACTCTGGCAAGGCTCTGCTAGCACCTTCATATGAACTCTTACCTTCCTCCCAGCTGAGATCCCAGACCTCCCAAGAGCTGGTAATAATCAGCTTTGAACTGAACCACAACCTGCAGCTCTGCCTCAGGGTGTGTTCCAACAATGTATTAAATGCAGCTGTAGGGCTTCTAATACTGGCCCAAAAATGCCCTGGCCACAGGGCACAATGCACTGATCCAACACAAACTTGCTTCCACTTCAAATCTCCTACAGAAACTACCAAGTTATCCAGGTGCCGCCAAGCTTTCTGCAGGATCAAGTATTATCTGTTCCCAAGAAGCTGGAATAAAAGCTGAGAAATTCCTTATTGTGTGCTCTGACTAATTCAGAAGAAATATGATTGTCACCCAGTAACTAATCAGAATCAAACCTCTGCTGGTGGACTGAGCCAGCAGTGACAGGTTTTTTATTAATGATCACAAAACCACTGCTTCACAGAGCATTCAAAGACGGACTATAGCCCGAGCTCTAAGGAGTGGTTACAATGGCCAGGAAACTTAATGATGCACTTGCTCTTCATGCGTCTCTCCCCAAGAATATACCGCATTGTGCTTCGATAACGAAGGCCTACCTTCTGGGGTGCCCCAGTGGGCACTAGCTGCCTGGAATGGAAGGAAAAGGATGAAGTTAAACTGTGAGTCAGCCAGCATAGCAAGCTGACCTAGAGAAGGGAAAACATCCACCTTCCACATGTCATTGAGACTGCCAAGCTGCTAAGTGCTTCTTGGAATCATAGAATCACAGAATGGTTTGAGTTGGAAGGGACCTTAAAGACCATCTAGTTCCAACCCCCCTGCCATGGGCAGGGACACCTTCCACTAGACCAGGTTGCTCCCAGCCTCATCCAGCCTGGCCTAGAGGTCCCCTAGAGCAACTCTGGCACAGAGATAATTTGTCCTTGACTGCAACATCTTGCATATCCTTTATTGCTAAAAGGGGCCATCAATGAAACCAGCCCCCAAAGTCTGAGCTTGGTCTACTACTTCTCAGTTCCACAGATCCACTTCCTCTCCACTACTGCATTTCCCTCCAAATCTAGTCTAAGCTTATGATCAGACTGTACTTGTGTTGTTTCATGCCATCGCTTACAAGCATAAAGGCTAAAGAACATGTACTTAGAAAGAAAATATGGGGAGATAAAAGAAAAAGAAGCATTGTCCCACAAAATACAGAGTCAACTTTGCAACTCAATTCCCCATGAAGTCCCCAAGGGGTCAGATTTTCAAAACCACAAAAAAAAAATATGATCAATACTATCAAGAACTGCCTTAATACAAAAACACAAGCAGCTTGACTTCACTGAGCTGGATGTTTGGCATATTCTAATCACAGGACAGGAGTCCTTCCCTCACTGACGTCGTATTTGCATGGAGTTTTCACCTTGCCTCAAACCACAGCATTTCAGTCACAGCTAGATGCAGGCTCAAACTGAAGCAATAATAGAATTCCAAGCTGATTTCTGAAAACTAAAAATCAGAAGGAAACCAACTACACAATGCAATTCATTTGCAGTAATGGAATCTAAGTAGCTCCTCAAGGGAAAAACTATGAAAAAAAAAGTCTAGAATGGATGGCAGATTTTTCCTATGCACACCCGCAAGAACGCCAACTTTGTACGGCAGAGCAGTCGCCTCTCTGCATGCCAACGGCCAGTTCGAAGGGTGAAAATTTCAACTGCGTGCTTAATCACCCGCTTGTGTTCAAACTGTACAAACCATTTATTACCACCCAAATTAAAGTCTGGTTTTTAAAACTTCCTCCACAAAGGTGAGATCCAACGGAGCCTGCTGTGTTAATGCTCGATCTTTATCTGCCCAATGACTAATGGCTTAACAAAACCAAAAATAAAATAATCACATTTTCAATCCTAATCTTAAAACCAAACACAAGAATCAAAATACTCTTTAGCAAAGAAGTTGGACATCCCCACAAAATTAATTTAAAAATATTTTTAACTATGTTTTCCAATAAGTGTATTGAAGATGAGCCAACCTCAGTTTGCACGTAGACCTCAGGATTCTGGCTGTAAATCTTTGCTATCTGGTTTCCTGTAAAACGCTGAGAAAGAAATGCAAATGCTTAGAAACACAAACCCTAAATGGAGTCAATAATCATTAACTCTGTGTAATGAGTTCAGTACATTGCACTTTGGATATTTAATTTGCCTGATGCATGATGAAAGTCAGTGCACAGCAGGCAATCTGCACTAAACAGGCGATAACACATAGTCTCATTATGAGAATTTTGCTCACCTTTTGAAAAAAAAAAGCATGTGAAAAAGCATTACTATCCATAATTTACATTTCAGAAATGACAGTTCAATGGAATGAATCACATTTATCCTGTGCACAGGAACCAGCACAATTCAAATGCTGCCTTCAAATCCTTGAAAAGGTTTAGGCAACCCAACCTATGTACCTCTCTGAGGCAGGTGAACTGGGAGCAAAGCAGGAAGTTTCAGACTCAAAGCAGCAGCTCCAGCACAGGCTAATAATAGTTGTAAGAATCATTATTTTTCACCCGTGTACTATATCAAATTACAAAATACTTCTAACACGGGAACCTGAACCTTTAGCAAGTTAAAAATAAACAGTCACTGGTATGCAAAGTCTGACTTCGACATTGGCCGTACACCTGGCATGACGATTCACAAAAAGAATCAGTAATTTGGAAGGTTAAAGCATTATTCTGTTGAACCAACAGTAAGAATAGCCAGGTGCTGAGATGCCTGGAAGGCAGACCTGCTCCCACTCCATAACTCATTGTCACAGTTACCAGAGAGAGAAGAGGCAGGAAGAGGAGAGAAGTGACAGGACTCTAATAGCGTCCCAAACTTCTAAAATTCACTTCAGTCCTTGTTAGCCTTCAGGGAACATTAAAAGGCCAATACTTCCATTTCAGAAGTAACCTAGAGCAATGATCCACAAACAAGGGGGTCATAACCCCAGGTAAACCTGTAACACAAACTGCACTGACACCTCAATGTGGCTGCACAGGAGCTCCCAGGGGAGAACCAGGCCCTGAGACTGTAGGCATGGCCACCAAACTCTGTATTTCAGAACCACTGGCCAAACGCAACAGCTCACCCCAGCAGCTTACTGCACCAAAATTTCTAATGTTTGAATCATAGAATCATAGAATGATTTGGGTTGGAAGGGACCTTAAAGATCATCCAGTTCCAACCCCCCTGCCATGGGCAGGGACACCTTGCACTAGACCAGGTTGCTCCCAGCCACATCCAGCCTGGCCTTGTTTAATGTTTTGCCTAATTTCACTTTAAAATTTCCACATCTTTCTTTGTGAGACTACTGCAAAGCACAGTATCGTTGGAGTTTCTTCAAAAAATTCTCTTTTTCATACTTAATGGCTGCCAGTCACCTGCTGTGGTACCAGCGTAACAGCAGAATTGATTCTGTCAGCAGGCTGCTGAGGACTTTTCTCCTGTTGCTCCTCACCTCATAGGCTCGAGAACCAGTGATACTCGCTAGGTGCTGGGCTCCCCCCACGGCTTTCTCCAGAGTGCTGCACTGGGAAGCTGTGCTAGAATCCATCCAGATGGGGCTGTTACTGACCGAAAAACAAGCCTGCAACAAACAATATCCTTTATTAGCAAGTCTGATCTCTAAGAAGTCCCTGCTAGACTAGTAGCAATATTGCAGACCTAGGAATCAGCTGACCAGTTCTCTGACATGCCTTCTGGCCTCCTCTCGATAGTTACAGGAAAGCGGATGTTGGGCAGTGGTCAAAAGCCCAACCCAAACTTCACATCAGAGGGAAGCAACAGGCTTTTCCTGCTGCTTCTTGACATCAACTGCACCGCGATGTGTACTTCACGTACCACACAACACGATGCCTCAAGTACACTAAAGCCCTGGGCCCTGTGGTGCAAGGTTAGCCCCACTTCTTAGAAGTCCTCTCTAACAATCAGATTATCTTTGTGCAGCTCTACTAACAGATTTCTCTTTAATGACTGGCAAAACCATTTGGAAATGCAACTGAGACTTAGTACATCGCCAGAGAGCATTTTAACTCCATTTCCCTGAGTTTTGCACAGATGAGATATTACCAAAATTAATCATTGAATAGATCTGTCACACAAATGTCTCCCTTTCAACATAAACTGTACTTTCTGATCTTGAAGTAACGAAGGTAAGGGTCTTCAAGAGGAAGCTGATTCCTCCCTTTCTTTTATTTAAAAAGTTTGTCAAATCTATGTCCAAAACTTGCCAACCACACACACACAGAATAGGCTGAGGTTCAACAATGTACTTGTTAGGAGTTTGTGTCCACACAGCATTACACTTCCATCCTTTCAGAGTTAAGTGTAAACTGGCATTTTTTAAAAATATTTTCCAAAGAAATCACAAGGACTGCAAGTAAATTCATGTAAAATAGTATTTTTCACCACAATTTCTTACTAATACAAGTATTAAAAAATCCACAAACCTAAAATATTTACAGGTTGTTTACAAAAATATTACATTTCTTGAAAGAACAAACCAGCTGTTACTCTGACACAGAAAGATTCTGGGATGCCCACTGGCAGCTCTAAGCTTTTAAAGCAATATATACCACCACTCAGGAGAACAGGAAATGTCAAGAGCCCTGGAGCTGAAGGAATAACCACTGCATTTCACTTTATGCTGTAGGGAGCCAAACAAAAGGAAAGGTTTGCAAGGAGAAAAGCAACATGTAAGGATCAAAAAAAGGACAGTGTGGTTCTCCCACCAAAGCTCTTTTATGCACCTCACCTTTAGTGACTGATGTAAAGGCAGTTCGGGTGACACATTCTTTAAAATTTGGATGCTTCCTTTTTTCCAGTACACACTCCCATGTTGCTGTGGAAAGTACAGAAACAGAAGTTGGACATGCCCTCCCAAGCCACCAAGTTCATATCCTCATCTGAATTTCAAACTCTAAGGGACAGAGAAATCTCCAAACTAGGAAAGAGACCTTTTCAAATCAGTGCCTCACCAAAAGACTCTTCAAGACTGAGCAAAGCATCTACTAAACCAGAAACTGTAGGAGCCAAGAGACAATGCTGATTTTGAACTACAGCAACTTCTAGTGGGAACTATCATTATACTGCTAATCCATGGCATTAGATACTCTGTGAGGACTCTCTGAGCTGTAGCCAGTGCTCCACAGTGAAGACTCTTAGTTCTGTTACAGCACAGTCCCCAGATTCTTCATTTACATGCCCAGTCACCACTAACAGACTGCATAATATTGAGAAGGTTATTTAAGTTCCATCTCTCAGGCAGCTTCCTCAAGGTAGGCATCTCTAATTATGCACCCGTAAGACACCCCACGAAAACTGCAAAGCACCATCCAGTGACCCACTAATAATTCTGACGACACCAATTGCACACAGAATCCTCTGGGCACAGAGTACTTGACCACAGGGCCATCCAGATTGTATTTCATATCTCTGCCAGTTCTGCAGACAATGGAGATGAAGTCTGTCCCTTCTTTGAGACAAACACTGGCACATCAGTGCACCCCCACAGTGATCTGCAGCATAAAGACAAGGTTCTTCAAAGAGAAGGGGGAGAGAGACAGTGTGGGTTGGAAGGGGGTAACTAAATAAAATCCATTCTACCTGAAGGAATCTGGATGTAGGACTAAGTTGACACCCCCCATTTGCTGGAGGATGGGTGAAATAAAGGAATACAGGCAATCTGGAAAAGCACTTCCTTTTTTCACTTGAGCAAGCTGTGGTTACTTGGCAGTCCCTAACTTCCGTTCCACTGAAGAATTCGTAAGAGCGCCTTGATAGCGGCTATGATTTTCAGACACTTTGCTCAGACTTTCAACTGAAGTCAATGAAACATGGAGATCAAAGCAAGAGGTTTGATTAATTAGTCCCAGATACATCAAGATGAATAACCTCAACCTCATGCATCAGGATTAGCTATCACCTTGGCGCTGTCCTCGCTCTGAACATCATCTGAGAAAGTTATAAGAGACTTTGTTCTGTCACCAGAGTACCAGGAGACTGGCTAACTGACTAAATGTCAGGATGGGCTTTATGGATCTCAGAAAAAAGGCATTATGCACTACAGGCTAAATCACAGCAGCATCTTTGCCATTTCTGCATCAAAGACTATGATAATTTGGTTTTGTTGTTCGCGGGCAGATCTCTATCCTAGCCAACAAGAACTGTGCTCAACAGGATGTTACTATGCCTTTAGCAAACTGTGCTCCTCACTATTTTTTCTACCCCATTTCCACATACACCCAGATTTCTGGGTTCACCCAGAAATTCAAGATGACCCCAGTCACTTCAGAATCTGTATGTACAAAGAATTTCAGCAACAGAAAGCAAAAAGTTAGGCACTATACTGATCTAAACAACTGTGCTGTAAAGCTCATCCTCCACTCCCACTGCCTTCTAATAACTGCTCTAAGTGCTTCAGGTTTTAAGTGGAATGTGTCATTTAATGGTTGCTTATATGATGCTTTGGTCTTACTTGATGTCATTATGGTCGTCTGTAATCCAATTATTTAAATGAAATTTATCACTATACCTTACACTCCATTGAAGAAATAGAGTAAGACTGATTTTTCCTTTATAAACTAACCTGGCCAGCACCAGACAAAGCTCTGACTTGAGAGAAGTTAAAGCCTGAAGACTTCATCTTTTCCAAAATCATATCCAGAGCCTAAAAGAACAAACAGAATCAAGAATGACTGTAACGAGCTATCAAATTATGCATACTCACAATCTCTGGAATTAAACAGTAAATTCATGTCATCACTGATAAGAGTTCATTGGCAGATAATGAAAAATTAGCTAATGACTATGGACTTCTCAAGAAGCTGCATAAATTAATTTACTAAGTAAGAGTCCATAAAAGAAAAGTTGAATCACACATGGAAAAAACAAGATCTTTAAACAAGCTGAATCACAAAGATCCATTCTTTGAAACCTAAATAAGAGGCAAGAGTTTAAGATTTCCAATTCATTAAAAAGCCATTTTTAAGTGTGCCAGACAAAAAGCAGGATTATCTTTTCCAGTTCTTACTCTTGGAAATCTACGAAATCTTAATGGGGTGCACCCTACACAGCACCCTACCAGATGTTAGATATCTTCAATACCACTGAACCTGACCCCAGTGTCTGCTGACAACTCAGGGTCTCTTTAATATAAGGCTAATTCAAGTGAATTTTAGCACTTTAAGCATCTAGGTTAATTTTGTTCTTGCCACATCTTACTGAAGTTTAAAAGAAAAAAATTAATCTATCCTTACCTAGTCTCATTCAGATCAGCATTTCCCAGACTATCCTGACAAATGGACCACTGCAGGACTTCAGATTTTCCCAAGAAACATCATATAACTCTATCATCATATTATTAATTTAATAATTACAACTGTTCCTTTTCATTATGGTTCAAAAGACCAACTGCAACCAAACATACCAAACCTTTGTAAACTACTGTGGATCAATAGCTGGCGGTTCTGTGACCTTTCAAACATCTTAACTATTCAAATGACAGTAGTAAGACAAATCTACATACTACCATGTGTGAGCACAAGTTGCAGAATCTGCTCAGAAGTAAGGAAGGCCTTCTTTTAAAATAGAAAAGAACGCTGCATTTCAAAATAAACACAAGTCAAAGTGACTGGGAATCACCAAATAAATTGCTCTTTAACCACTTACCATTTGAGACATCACTTGGAAGTAAAGCTTATTCAAAAAAAAAACAGTGCAAGGAACCTGAATGCTACAAAAACACAGATTTAAGCCAGGCAAAGCAACAGCTGCCCCTTTTGGTGTATGAAACGAGAAGATGAGGAAAAAAAGAATAGTCTTTTTTCAAATGAGGGGAAGTCAGGAAAGGATTAACCACACGTACAATGCTGTAATAGTAGAGAGCAAATAAACAAACAAGAAACACCCCCAAAATCTTAGCAACTTCCACCGTGTTTGTGGAGAACATTCATATTTGCGTAACAGAGACACCGAGTAACACTTAAAAGAAACGTAATACAAGCAAAGGGACTATGTTGGTTTGAATAACGAGCTTCACTATTGCTTGGAATACATTTCTGTTTCAATAACAGCAAGGAAGAAGTTGGACTATATAAAGCTTGTTCATACCTTGACCCACATTAGCACAGGAGAAGTCACTGTCAGTCTGTCACTGTGAATATAGACTCCACCTTGAGTCCTACAGAAAAATGGCATTTTCTCTTGGTAAATTAAGCAATTTTTCCCCACCAAGCAAAGTTCTTCAAGTTCATTAATAACCCAAGTTTGCAACGCTTTTATGTTAATGGCAAGGATACGACCAGTGTTTGAAACCTGAAAAAGTAAAATCCAGCTCCTAAGATATCTGACCCAATTGCAAAGCAAGTAATTTGCAAGGAAATGCTCTAATCCTGAAGTGAGATCTGTGATAGACTCCAATGCTGATACTGCTTATTGCCTACATGGAATCCATAGTTATTTCTAACTTTCCTAACAGTCACACTCGGTGGCTTGAATCTAGAAGACTAAATCAAATTTTTGCTGTTAAACTGTCAAGTAAATAGATGTACTTCATTGAAATTTGCTACCAAGGAGGAAGACATTTGTTAAGGCTAGTCTATTAACTGAAGTAAACAAATACTGTCATCCTACATCCTACTGTGAGATTTGGAGCCACTGAACTTGTCTCCAAATGCCTTTCAGAAGTTCCTCTCATACAATTTACTTGCTGTTATCACAGCATTCCACCCTGACACAAAGGCAGTGTTTACCTCTAGTTCCCAAAAGAAACAGTCACATCCACAAGGCTGAAGTCCCAAAAGAAAATCATTTGGTTTATTTATACATAACACTTAGGGGTAGATTTGTTTGCTTACTTCCTGTTGTGAGTTCTTGCCATATTTACATACCAAGGAAGGCAAGAGCATATACTACCCTTGCTAAGTATGAAACATGAACATGGCATGAACTGTTCTATGCCCCCACACATATCACTGAGACTAAATAAGCCAACAGCCTTCCCACCCCAATCCCCAAAGTGCTAAATTATATTATCCAAGTAAAATATAAAAAGTCTTACTTAAATTCTGGAAGGTCCTTATCAAAACGAACATTATCCTCATAAATGACTCTCAGCTGTTCATCAATAGCAATGACTTTCAGCTAAAAGATACAAAACAGTATGTTAACAAAAACTAACAATAATTAAATAGCCCTGATAACTCATAATAATTCAGTTCTCACAGACAAAATGGGAAAGATTACCACCTCAATCCATACAGCTCACTGAAAGTAAGAGCACAATTTTACATGAAACAAGTTATTATGTGAATTTGCAGCCTGTCATCTATTCAGCAACATGTGTATTTGCTTGCTTGCATTCCCCCCTGCAAGACTGAGATGCAAACATATGCTAAAAACATAAAAATAAATTACCATCTTCATAGCTTGCATCATGGTAGCCATTTTTTTAAATTCCTCCAAAGAATACAGTATCTTAAAGACGCTGTATATTGGGGTTTTTTAACCCTCTCCATTTTTTTTTTTCCCTATTTTACCGAGGGATACCTTGAGGACCTTCCCTGCCCCCCAGATAGTGAGTAAACCAAACTCAACCAGCCTGGCAAAGCTCAGTGGGCATTATACAAATGTATCCTGAGCTGCAACATATGGAAACCAACATCCCAAATGGGTAACTCCATAAAGCTGTGCTTTCTTGTAATCACAAACCAGAAGAGTACCACCAACTTTCCTCCCCTGTCTTCACTCAAGTTTACCTAGTACAGAAGAACATTAACAGCCTAGAAGAAAAGTGAGAATGTAGCTCACATTCCCACATATTTCAACAAGGGAGAGAGTACAAACTGCTGTGAAAGCAACAAACAAAACCTACAAAGACTAAGTCATCTCAAAGAGTTGCATTCAAACAACAAGGCCATCCCCATTTCGGAGTATCTTACTTCAATTTTAGCCATACTAATGTAGGGCCATGGTTTAAGCTGGTGCCCTGCACTAGCTTAAAATTGGCTCTGATGCACTGCAGCTTAATTGGCTTTCCGCTTGCAGCATGTTCCCTTAGAAAAACACTCCATCGACCTCCTATGGCTAACCTGGATGTGTCCTTCCAAACTCCCAAACTTCAGCACAGCCACAATGAAGTTATTTCTGCTCATATTGGTGAAATATATCCAGGCCTATGCACAACCTGGGCAGGATTTCTATTTGCAGCGTGATAATATCCAATTATGTCAACAAATCCAAATTTCAAGCAGCAATCTCTGCATCCAGCTACCTCAATCCTACAACTCTTGACTCACAGGAGGACACCAGGTAAGCTGGATTTGGTGCAAATCACAGCTCCCAGCCCGCCTGGTGCTGCTGGCAGAGGGGTGTCCATGCCGCCTGCGTGCAGATAACAGCCACAGCACCCCGCTCCGGGATTAAAAGCATCCCATTGCAGGATGGAGAAGCAGGACACGTTAGGACACGCAGCCTACAGCTTCAGACAAGAGGTGGAGAGAAACAGCAAGGCTTCTGCAGCAAAAAGGGAAAAGGATGTATTTATGCAGGCGAAGGGAAGGAGGCATGAGAACAGCCGGGCACATGCAGTGCCTGCGGCCCTCCGAACACACCAAGTGCAGGGATTATTTTGTACCGGCTGAGGCAGGGGCATTATTTTGTACCGGCTGAGGCAGGGGCATTATTTTGTGTCTGCTCAGGAAGGCTGCTGGCAGAGGACTCCTCAGCACGGAGTGCAGCGCCCAGCCCGGCCCTGCTGCAAATGAGGAAACCCGGCAAGGCAGAACTGTCGCGGGGGGAGAAAAAGCGGCGAGGCAAGCTGCTGGAGAGGAGGCAGGCCCGTTCCCCTTGCGCGCTGCGGCAGGTCAGTGGGACGCGATGGCGGGGCAGCCCAGCCCGCCCTTGCCCCCTCCCAGCTCCCCGAGACCCGGCTGGGAGCAGCGGCC